GTCTTAACCTGGAAGTAAGGAAAGCACTGACCTCCCGTGCCCAGTACATGCAAAAATGTACATGTAGAAATGTAGTTTCTATTTTAATAAATGACACCATGCTTGAATTACTGTTCCTAAGCTTACTTTTCCATCTGACAGAATTTCTTACCCTTCTTGTGTGTGTGTACATGTGTGTTTCTATTAACAGCTTCAAAGTGCTCCATCACACACACACACACACACACACACACACACACACGGCTGTTTTAACCATTTCATTATTAACAAAAGTTAATTTTGTTCCTGGTTTTTCACTGCAGCAATACTGCAGTGAACAACTGTCAACATCCCAGAGCAAAGGAGCAGCAGAACTTTGCCCGAACACCTATTTCCTTGTCCTCAGGCCTGGCTACGTAGTCACGAGTGCCTGTCAGCAAGCGGCCAGCATTCTCAAGCTTCATGCTTTTGCAGCCCACACGGAGTCAGACATCAGGTGCAGAAGGAGCCTGACTAGTGTCCCCTGCACAGTTTTCAGTTGTCTTAAGCAACTAATAAAAAGAAAAAAGAAACTAGAATTCAACACAGGCCAAGAAGGAACAGCCCAGGAAAACACCTGAGGTTCTCAATGCAGAACCCTAGAGTGCAATACCCTAGTATTGTCAAACCAAAGGTGGACATTAGCCTTGTGTGTAAGAAGTGAACCCCACCTCGAATGGGGTCAGCCCCGTGTTGAGTTAGGGTGACCGTCCTGCACTGCAGCTGCTGGCCAGGGGAGTGGAAACCCTCTCTGCTCGATAGTGTCACCCAGAGCCATGGCCATGTTTCACATTGCTGCTCATATTGGGTATATCAAGAAATCGAACCAAAAATAAATAACCAAACAAACGATAGGAGCTGACCTGCAGATGACCCAGATACTGGAGTTATCAAATGTGGACTTGAAAAAAATGGTGATTAATGTGTTCAGAAAAACAGGTAACAAGGTGAAAATTTTCACTGGAGAGATGGAAACTGTTTTAAAGCATCCAATGGAAATTCCAAAATGGAAAAGTATGGCTGAAGTGGAATTTGAATGGGTAGGTTTGACAGCTAATTGGACCTAGCGGAAGAGAAGATCGAGGAACTGGAAGTTTGTGCAGTAGGAAATACTCAGACCTCGGCACTAAAGGAACAGCGAGTGCAGAAGGCAGGCACGACGCACAACTCGAGGCATGCTGGAAAGGTCTGAGTGTGCTCGGAGTACCTCAAAGAAGGGAGGGAATATGGGTGCATATCTGCAGGGGAAGGGCCGAGAACTTTCAAAAGCTGGCAAGATATTAAGAGGGATTTAAGAAGTAATACAAAGACTAGGTGGGAAAGTACAGAGAAAGCCATGCCTCGGCACGTCCACATTAAAACTCTTGGAAACCAAGGACAGACGGAAAATCCCTAATGCAGGTGGAGAAGAATGTGCATCACTTGCAATGGAGTGGCCAGTGAGACCATGGGAATGTCACTCCCTGGAGGACAGGCCACACGGCGCCCACAGCCATGCAGAGCCGAGAGCAAATGCTGCACCCAAGGCCGGAGTCCTAAGCAGGTTTCGCCATAAAACCGAGAAGAAAGCAACGTGGGCGCATGAGCAGCAACGTGTAAACGTCACACACGCAAACCACGTGGATAGAGCTGCCCTACGCCGGAGGGGACGGGAAAGGAGGAAACTAGGATGAGCTCCCTCATCTCCTAGTACCGACTAAACAGTCACCTAAGCTGACAATTCAAATCATAGAAACTGAAGCACGAGCCGGGCACGGTGGCTCACACCTGTAATCCTAGCACTCTGGGAGGCCAAGGCGGGCGGATTGCTTGAGGTCAAGAGTTCGAAAGCAGCTACTATAAATAGAAAGAAATTAATTGACCAACTAATATATATAGAAAAAATTAGCCGGGCACGGTGGCACATGCCTGTAGTCCCAGCTACTCGGGAGGCTGAGGCAGGAGGATTGCTTGAGCCCAGGAGTCTGAGGTTGCTGTGAGCTAGGCTGACGCCACAGCACTCACTCTAGCCTGGGCAACAAAGCGAGACTCCGTCTCAAAAAAAAAAAAAAAAGAAAAGAAATTGAAGCACGAAACTAAAGCACTGAAGCATAGAAACTAAAAGAACAAACAATAAAGAAGCTACTCTAGCCACTAACCTTAGGTGGTGGAGGAGAAAGGAGAAATAAGATAAGTATTCAAGGGCAAAGGAATAAATGAAAAAGATCAAACAAATAAAGTCAATATATTTTATCTCAACTCTCTGCTTCCAAGGCCAAAAGGAAGAGAAAGACTCTTCTCCAGTAGAAGAGTGAATAAAGGATATTAACAGAGTTCACAGCAAAGGAAATACAAATGGATCTTAAGCATATGCAAAGATGTTCAACCTCCTTCACTGAGAGAAGTGAAAATTAAAACCACACTGAGAGTTAGAAGAGTGTATATATTTGTCAAATCTCAAAAATTATAGACTCGAAAGATTTACACATTTCACTGTTAGTTTTACCTGTTAAAAAAAACTATAAATAGGCTGGGTGCATTGGCTCACACCTATAATCCCAGCGCTCTGGGAGGCCAAGGTGGGAGGTTCACTTGAGGCCAGGAGTTTGAGACCAGTCTGTGCAACACAGCAAGACCCCGTCTCTACAAAAGAAATCTTTTAAAAAAATTAGCTGGGCATGGTGGTGCATACCTGTACTCCCAGCTACTCTGGAGGCTGAAGCAGGAGGATCGCTTGGGCCCAGGAGTTGGAGGCTGCAGTGAGCTAGGATTGTGCCACTGCAGTCCTGCCTGGGTGATAGGGAAAAACCCTATCTCTTAAAAAAAAATTATAAACAAATATTGAATTCTAGTTATATCGCTCAAGTGCTTTGAAGTGTACTAACATCTGCCTCTTACTTTGAAATGCATTCAAAAATTTAAAAAATGGATAGGCAGACAAATATGAAATAAACCAAATATAGCAAAATATTAACTGTAGAATCAAGGTGGTGGGTGTATGTACCACCTGTTAATATCCTTTATTCACCCTTCTACTGGAGAAGAGTCTTTCTCTTCCTTTTGGCCTTGGAAGCAGAGAGTTGAGATAAAATATATTGACTTTGATTATTTGTTTGATCTTTGTTTTCATTTATTCCTTTGCCCTTGAATACTTCTCTTATTTCTCCTTTCTCTTCCACCACCTAATGTTAGTGGCTAGAGTAGCTTCCTTGTTGTTTGTTCTTTTAGTTTCTATGCTTCAGCGCTTTAGTTTCATGCTTCAGTTTCTCTGATTTGAATTGTGTGGCTAGGTGACTGTTTAGTCGGTACTAGGAGATGAGGGAGCTCATCCTAGTTTCCTCCTAGTTTCAACTTCTATGTTTGAAAACATTTATAATAACATGTGAAGAAAAAAACACAAAAATACAAAAGATAACTCTGTTTCCAAGATTGTAATACAACAGTCTCTCTCAACCTTTGCCAGTGGAAGCTTATATAGATACAGCTTCCAGGGATAACACCAACCAGAATTAAAATGCATTTATCTTTAGATACAATAATTCCACCTGAAGGAATTTAATCTACAGACATATTCAGACATGTGCAAAATAACACAGCTACAAGGACATTAGTGCTATCGTTGTATGACAAACAAAAGGTTGGAAATCGTGTCTAATCAACAGAAGAACGATTAAAAATACTATGGCATATCCACACAATGAAATGCAATACAGCCATTAGAAAGAAGCAGTCTTCTATACATTGACATGAAATAATCTCCAAGATGTTTTAAATTAAAAACTAAGATTTGGGACAGTTTACACAATAAGCTTGCGTTTGAATGAAAAACAAATGCACAAACACACATATTTCCTCATGCAAGCGCAGACTGTGTGGAGAGGAGAGGCACGCGTGAGGACAACAGTCCTTTCCTCTGGAGAGGGACAGGGTGGCCGGGGCAGAGGTAGTTTAAAAAGCTGCTTTTCATGGTTTTCTTTTCATCTTTTTGAGCTTTGAGCTGTATACAAGTATTACTTATGCAAAAATGTTAAATTTAATTCTCAAAAAATTGAAAATGGGATCACCATATAATGCAGCAATTCCGCTTCCGGTTATACCCCAAGAGGTACTGAAAGCGGGGCCCAGAGAGGGACCCGCACAGCCACGCCCACAGCAGCCTAATCCACAGTGGCCACGCCCACATAGGCCACGACCACAGCTGCCTCTCTCACAGCAGCCTCTCCCACAGAGGCCACACCCACAGCAGCCTCTCCCACAGAGGCCACGCCCACATAGGCCATGCACACAGCTGCCTCTCCCACAGCAGCCTCTCCCACAGAGGCCACGCCCACATAGGCCATGCACACAGCTGCCTCTCCCACAGCAGCCTCTCCCACAGAGGCCACGCCCACAGCAGCCACGCCCACACAGGCCACACCCACAGCAGCCGGGAGGCAGCGACAACCCAAGCCCCAAGTTAGGATGGACGGATAAGCAAAATGGGGTCTGTCCTGCAGTGGAATATTCTTCACCCTTAAAAAGGAGGGACATCCCGATGCAGCTACAGCATGGATGAACAGAGGACATCACTCTGAGTGCAACAAGAAGGCAGGCCCTGTGCGATCCCACCTGTGCAGGTGTGCGGAGCACTCGGTTCAGAGACAGAGAGTAGAGCAGGCTGCCGGGGTTGGGGGCGGGAAGCGAAGTTCAGCTCAGCCAGACGGAAAGACTGCTGGAGGTGGACAGTGGTGACGGCCACACCACAATGTGAATGTCCTTAATGACACTAGACAAGACACTTAAATGCCACTGTATGCGACAAATGGTTAAGATGGCAAATTTGATACGTATTTGGCCACACATTTTTAAAAGACAGACAGGAAGGACACATGGCACCAGCCAAGCTTGTGGCTGCTGCAGCTCACAGCCCAGGGAGGAGCACCGGGCCAGCCCCTCAGCTCAGAACAGCAACCTGGGCCGGCGTCGCAGGAATGACCCTCCTCCTCTGTCCCGTTCTGTTCCAGCCGTCCTCCGGCGCCGGCTCCCCGAGGGAAAGGCCAGTGCCCGACGGCTTCCCTCCCCCTGGGATGGCCAGGTCCCTGTGAAGTGGTGACCACTCCAGCCAGCAGGTCAGTGTCCCCAGCACCAGGGAGGACACAGACAAGGGGTGAGGGAGGGACAGCATGGCTGCCTGCGGTCCAGATACTCCAGTGCTTCTGAAGACTCCTGGAGCGCCATATGGAACAGAGGCGTAGAGCCGCCTTTGCCCCCAATCCCGGGGACACAGAGACTCGCGGAGACCCAGGGTTTGGGATGTGGGACTTGCATAAGTCATTTCCTTGCTCCGTGCCTCAGTTTCCACATTTAACATGGCCCTTGTGAGGCATGGTAACTGCTTCCAAGGCTACCGTGGGTGAGGAGAGGGAGGAGGGATGACTGCCGTGTGAGGAGAGGGAGGAGGGATGACTGCTGTGAGGAGAGGGAGGAGGGATGACTGCGTGTGAGGAGAGGGAGGAGGGATGACTGCGTGTGAGGAGAGGGAGGACTGGATGACTGCTGTGTGAGGAGAGGGAGGAGGGATGACTGCCGTGTGAGGAGAGGGAGGAGGGATGACTGCCGTGTGAGGAGAGGGAGGAGGGATGACTGCTGTGAGGAGAGGGAGGAGGGATGACTGCCGTGTGAGGAGAAGGAGGAGGGATGACTGCGTGTGAGGAGAGGGAGGACTGGATGACTGCCGTGTGAGGAGAGGGAGGAGGGATGACTGCTGTGTGAGGAGAGGGAGGAGGGATGACTGCCGTGTGAGGAGAGGGAGGGGGATGACTGCCCTGTGAGGAGAGGGAGGAGGGATGACTGCCCTGTGAGGAGAGGGAGGAAGGATGACTACCGTGTGAGGAGAGGGAGGAGGGAGACTGCCGTGTGAGGAGAGGGAGGAAGGATGACTGCTGTGTGAGGTAGAGGGAGAGGGATGAGTGTGCATGTGAGGAGTGGGAGGAGGGATGACTCTGCCCTATGAAGAGAGGGAGGAAGAATGACTGCCTTGTGAGGAGAGGGAGGAGGATGACTGCCCTGTGGAGGAGAGGGAGGAGGGATGACTGCCTATGAAGAGAGGGAGGAAGGATGACTGCTGTGTGAGGAGAGGGAGGAGGATGACTGCTGTGAGGAGAAGGGAGGAGGATGACTGCCGTGTGAGGAGAGGGAGGAGGGATGACTGCCCTGTGAGAGAGGAGGAAGGATGACTGCTGTGTGAGGAGAGAGGAGGGATGACTGCCCTATGGAGAGGGAGAAGGATGACTGCTGTGTGAGGAGAGGAGGAGGGAGACTGCCCTATGAGAGAGGAGGAGGGATGACTGCCTATGAAGAGAGGGAGGAGGATGCTGCTGTGTGAGGAGAGGGAGGAAGGGATGACTGCTGTGTGAGGAGAGGAGGAGGGAATGACTGCCGTGTGAGGAGAGGGAGGAGGGATGACTGCTGTGAGAGAGGGAGGAGGTGACTGCCTATGAAGAGAGGGAGGAAGGATGACTGCCGTGTGAGGAGAGGGAGGAGGATGACTGCTGTGAGGAGAGGGAGAGGATGACTGCCCTATGAAGAGAGGGAGGAGGATGACTGCCGTGTGAGGAGAGGAGGAGGATGACTGCTGTGAGGAGAAGGGAGGAGGATGACTGCCGTGTGAGGAGGGGGAGGAATGACTGCCGCGTGAGGAGAGGGAGGGGATGACTGCCGTGTTAGGAGAGGGAGGAGGATGACTGCCCTATGAAGAGAGGGAGGAAGGATGACTGCTGTGTGAGGAGAGGGAGGAGGATGACTGCCCTATGAAGAGAGGGAGAGGTGACTGCTGTGTGAGGAAGGGAGGAGGGTGACTGCCGTGTGAGGAGAGGGAGGAGGGATGATCACCATGTTGAGATAGGGCAGCAGGGTACTCACCCTAAAACCCCTGGGCAGTGGGCCTAGGGGAGCTCACCCCCCTGGCGCCTGGCCCCTCCCCGAGCACACCTGCCGGCCAGGGCTGTGCACTCGGTCTTCACAGCCCATGGAGCAGTGTTGATAAGTGTTCTCAGCAGGGGCAGGTGGACCGGAGAGTGAGTCACTCTTGGCAGGTTGAGTGAGGGATGTGTGGGGTAGGCATCCCCAGTGGGGTCCTACGGATGACCCCAAGGTGCCCAGACGTGGGCTATAGTGCGGTGGCAGAGCCGGGGTGGTTACCTGCACCAGGTGCCTGCACGGCTGAGGGCTGCCCTCCTCCCGAGCGCCTGGGGCTCGTGGCTGGCTCTGGGGCCGAGGTGGGTGTCCTCACCTGCCCAGGGAATGGCCAGCCTCCATGGCCCCCGCCACCCGCCTGTCTCCGCAGGGTGGAAGATGGTACCAGCCAGGCCCCGCCCGAGGAGCGACCGCCGCCACGAGATGGAGGAGCCACGCCCGAGCCGGTCTACGTGGACGTGGACAAAGGGCTGACCCTGGCCTGCTTCGTCTTCCTCTGCCTCTTCCTCGTGGTCATGATCATCCGCTGCGCCAAGGTCATCATGGACCCTACAGCGACTCCCCACGTCCACCTGGGGAGCAGCACCTGGACGACTGAGCCGGGGCGGCAGGACCGGCCCATGACCCTCCCAGCCACCAGCCCGCACCTGTGCCGCCGGAGTGGACGTGCCGGGGGCAGGCCCGGCCCTCACTCGCGCCCACGGATCGGGTCTCTGGGCAGCGGCTGGGGGGCAGGAGGCCGGTCCCGCGGGCAGGCTCTGCAGGCCGGGTGGTGGCCTTCCTGGCTTCTGGCTCCTTCCGAACTGGATCCAGCACGGACGCCCCTCCCCACGTCACACAACACACATCTGGGGGGGCAGGGGTATCGGTTGAAACGTAAAGTGGCGCATGGAGACCCCCAGCGAGGGACCTGCCCAGGGCCTGGGCGAGGTGGCAAGGGTGGAGTGGAGGCCAGGCGCCTGCCTGAAACGCACAAGAGGCTCACGGTGCCGGCAGCTTCCAGCAGTGAGTGTGTGTGTGTGTGTGTGTTTGTTTATTTGTTGTTTTGAGGCAGAGTCTCACGCTGTGCCCGGCTAGAGTGCCGTGGCGTCAGCCTGGCTCACAGCAACCTCAACCTCCTGGGCTCAAGCGATCCTCCTCCTCAGCCTCCCGAGTAGCTGGACTACAGGCTGCACACCACCACGCCTGGCTAATATTTTTCTCTATATATTTTAGTTGTCCAGCTGATTTCTTTCTATTTATAGTAGAGACGGGTCTCACTCTTGCTCAGCTGGTCTCCAACTCTGACCTCGAGCGATCTCCCGCCTCGGCCTCCCAGAGTGCCGGGGTGACAGGCGTGAGCCTCCGTGCCGGCCCAGCGGTGCTTGCTTGAAACTGAAACACAGAGGCACGTGTTGTCCTGTAACAGACACACGTGCGGTTTGGGGATTTGGAGGAAAACAGAGAAATGGAAGGAAAAGGGGAAGTCGCAGCCACGCCCTCCAGAAGCCGCCACTCGGACTCGTTTCTCCCGCCTTTCGTGCAACGTGTTTGCAGTCGCACTCACGCTCCCATGCTCGGCGTCCTGTCCCCTCTCGCGGCGGCAGGACCCGCCCGTTTCCCCGGACACC